CATAGGTACATGGGAGGTACAGACAACAAAGATGAGCCATTTTGCACATACAGTACTGCCAGTGTATTGTAAGTGAAGGCAAATATGGGTATACGGGTTAGGAGTTCCTTTCAAGGTGATCCAGAGGTAAAAGGATGCAAGTGTTCAGGAAATAGGATGTAAGTAATACAATTGGAGGCGTAAGTAGAGTATATGTAGAGAACTAACAAAAAACACCAAACCCATTGCCATCAAGTCAATTCTGACTCATAGCAATCCTATATGAACAGAGTAAAACTGCCCTATATAGTATCCAAGGCTGTAAGTCTTTACAGAAATAGACTGCCTCATCTTTGTCCTATGAGCAGCTGGTGGGTTTGAACTGCTTACCTTTCAGTTAGCAGCCCAATGCCTTAACCACTGTACCACCAGAGCTTATTTGGAGAACTGGTGGTGAGGGTAGGTGCTATTGGATCAGCTCCGACTCAGCAACCCTATGTACAAAAGAATGAAACACTGGTCCTATGTCATCCTCAAAATCCCACAAGTGGGACACCAAGTAAGATGGTGGAATAGGCAGAAAGACTGCACAGACCCTCTTCAAAAAAAGAAGAGGAACCAATTAACACAGACACAGAAGATAATCCTGGATCCCTGAGCCTTGAAGGGAAGGATATAGAAGTGGACTAAATGCCAAGTAGCAGAAGAATTTGCATGAAAATACCAAAAAAGGAGACATACGGAGCTGCAGTCTGGCAGCAATTCTGACAGCCTGGCACAGACAATTTGGAGAGTGCCGAGTGGTGGTAGGACCTAAGAATTAACCTAAAAATCAGCCCTGCTAGCCAGGGACTGCATGGAGGACTGCTCTGGTGGCTTGGGAATAAAAGGCGAAGCAGAAGCGAAGAGAAAGGTGGGCTGAGCTGTGATCTTTTGCCTGTCCGGAGGGTGTGGCCATTTTGAATGTTTACAACCACCTTGACCATTTTCGATATTTAAAGAGACAACGCTCTCCCAGATTCCAGGGGCTTAAGAACAGGTTCTGCTTGCCAGTAACGCCAAGGACACTCCAGACCTGAAGGACTGAGAAGGTGCAACATTCCCCTTGTTACTCTTATACCCCACACCACTTGGAAAAAGGAGGTGCAGCCATGTCGCACTCCCACCCACCTTCTGGGCCCGCAGGAACTCCATCCCAGTCTGTGTGCCCAGATGGACCCTGGGGGCCTTGCCCTACCCTCCCTGATTTTGTTCTTTTTACTATTTATTTTCTCTTTCTTCTTGTTTTTAGTTTGCTTGTTTTAAAACTACTATTAGTAGTAGTACTTTGGTCCTTTTTACTATTACTCTTTATTCTTCCCTTCCCAGGTCCTAGTTTTTAGCTCTTTTTCTTTTCCCTGTTCCTGGTTGCAATTTTTTTTTTTTTTTTT